GGTGTCAACTCGAATACAACATCGGCAGGTCGCTCTCCCTCGAGAGTTATCTACCTGTTCACATGTTTTTGTACGAGTAGATTCGGTACGAAAACCTTGGCAACAACCTTACGAAGGCCCTTTTCACGTGATCGCTCGTCACGAAAAAACCTTCAAGGTTGATCGATATGGCCGCGTCGAGATCGTCAGCATTGATCGTCTCAAACCAGCACACGTCGATGACAGTGCCCTATCTGACAACCTTAGATTCAATGCTAGACCTAGCAAACCTACTAGCGGGATCCTCAAATCATCTTCAGGTCCCACGCTAGATACATCTGAGACCTCATTCTCACGTCCCAGTCAACAGCACGCGTCATCTGCGCCGTCTACGGACGAGACGACAGTCTCACGTCCAGATCAGCAGACCACGCCGCCCTTGACTTCGGATGAGATTGCAGGCTCACGCGACGCGAACGAGACTGCCGTCTCACGTTCCGGTCGCCGAGTACGATTACCCGTACGCTTTTGCGAATAGTCGCACAGTCAACAACCGATACGGTGTAGGACTATTCCTATGCTACATGCATACTACAATCTTCTCTTTTTTGATTTTATTGTTGTTTCCTGAGCCTACGCCTTCGACCATCTCCGTTTGGTTCCGTCGACTTCAGTCAACTTTGGCGAAAGCTGGATTGGCCACCCACGCTCTTGTCAACACACTCAGTCGATATTTTCGTTTCGAATGCTTGGTATACGCTTCGTCTCGAACTTGGTCGTTACGGTCGCTTCTGGTCTTTTGGTTCAACGTGGTTTCGTCCTTCGTCTGCAGCGTTTCTGGTCCGCATTCCCCACGAACGCAATCTTCAGATTCTGGATACAAACCACTCTGGTGTGGCATGCCAATTCAAGCAATAAATACAGCACATCGCTCCTGGTACCGTTCTCCGAAAACGACCTTCGTTGGCAACTCGACGATCAACGATCGCTTTCCTGTTCGCCAATTCCTCCGTCCTACAATCGCTCGTCAGCCGATCAGTCCCACGATTCAAACCGCTATTTATCGAAAGTGTAAACCCTTTCTAGCGGGGGGCTCCTGTAGTGACTCACGTTTATCACGAGAACACGACTGGTTTAATAAAAACAATTATTATTATAACCAACTGCACCAGTGTTTGTTTTAATGTCCTTTTGTTTGACTGTGCTAATTATAGCCATTTTATGCTTCCATTACCTTCCTTCATTGTTCGGCGGTTTTTGGTACTGTTCGCACGTACTCCTGTCTTCTGCTTCCACTTGTACCATTCCTTGGCACGATCTCGGTATTCGTTCAATACCACGAGATCGCCAACGAAATAAATCTGGTTACGTTCGATCTTCGCCTTCTGATTTATCTGGCACGTTTTTCTTGGTAGCGGTGTTCATAGTTAATCTCAACTCGACGCCACGCTACAAACTAATTACACAACTTTTTTAAGTCTGCTCGAGTAGGGGTTTGTATTTGTCAAACACTGAATATTTGTAGCATTTTATGGCATATACTTCTACTAATGTGCCGCTGATGATAGCCTCAGGCTCTCAATCAGAATTTAGAGTTCGGCTGAAAAGTTCCATCATTTCTGTTAAGTTGTTGAAATGTCTACCTACTTTTATGCAGGATAACTTAGCTATTCTAGATTGAATCCTTGACGCAGTATCTCGAACGGCTTAACCTTGAGGCTTGTATGTGCGAATTCGAAGTGAGATCGACTACTTAAGGTAGAGACACGAAAACTATTCTATCATCTGATTGTCCGACAAGCACACGAGTGAGAGGAGACAAGTCAACTGCAACACTACATGATTTATTTTTAATTACAATCTGGTTCCCGATTTCAGAATAATATGGAACGATACATGAATAAAAAGATAACTAACCAGACAAAAACAATTATGCCTAAAGCTGCGGATTAGAGTAGAAAATAGAGTACAAAAGACTACATTTAAATTAAAATAGCTTTGGAACATAAAGAGCTGTGGAAGTAAATCATACATCAGACGAAAGCTTATGATGTGTAGAACAGACTAGGTACAAAAATAAATGTAACTGTGTTACAAGCTTTGATTTAAATGAAATAACGTCCCGAAAAATAGCTTCCGTAGTTTTTCAAGGCTTCTTCTTTCTCTGTTCGTACGAATTTCATATTGAACAAACACATTTATTAGAAAGTATTTTATTCATAACCAACATGAAGCTAGTTTTCGACAGGATGTACGCGAGGTAGGTCAGAGATTAGTGAAGATTTTGTGGAACTATCTTTTTCCGATGTAATACTGCTTGTAATCTTCGAGAAAACGAAGACTCAGAATTTGATCGCATTAATGAGGTTTAGAAGACCATTTTGGCAGCTGAGAAATAACTTCTCGATTAACTTTAAAAACTCAAGCAAAAAATGTGAAAAACAGCGACTGCTCGAGTATGACAAGGACTTCAAATAGTTATAGAAAACCAACCCTAAAAACTTCAGAACAGCACTGAATTTCAGAACATGTATTGGTCGAAAAACAAGACTTTTGTCAGCAGTAAACCAACGTATATAAAAGTTTCACAAACCTGTTCGTGTTGGTTGTCATTTGAAAACCTTCGTGTTACTTTCTCTCTGATCTCTCTTGATCTTCTAATGTTTTAATTTTTCGGATAGGTTTTTCCGTATGATTTAACACGTAAGGAGGTTGCGTGCTTTCGTCATTACTCTACATTTACTCTTACAATATGTCAATCCCTGCATATTACCTATTATTCTTTCCCGGGATTTCGAGAAAAGACTTCGCCGTATTATTGGGAGTGCTGAAGAGAGCCATCAGGGTGTGCGTTGACTCTTTTGAGGTCATTACTAATACAATTGTGAATAGACATCTAAAGCCTTGCAAACTCCTGGCAGGTGGTATCTTATCAGGTATTAACCATCCACTTCATGCATATCTCTCTCCTTGTATGTCTTCTGGTAGAAACAAATGTCAATACATCAGAATCCATGCACCCAAGCAAAGGTATAAAAGTTCTATTACTCCTTACCTGGCAAAGATAACATGCGACGAAAAGGTTGTTAGAATCGACCTAGTCAATAGCTTGTATTCTTGAGCACGTTTCTAATTTTCTAAAAATGTACAGATTCAAAAAAACATTTCATTTAATTCCAGGTAGTTTATCTACTTAACTTGTGTATATATGTATGCAGTTAGCGGTTTCCTTCACCCTTTTGCTCATTCTCTTAAAGAAACTTGCTGAAATACCTTGTGAGGAGAAGTCGATATTGTATTGAGTATATAATGCTGAATAAAGCCAATGATAATAATAATAATAAAACAACCAATTCGCGATGAAAACTCTCAATCTATTTCCTAATTCTAAGCATCAACTATACATCCTTATTCTAAATTCTCATGCTGCTTTATAATCCTAGTTTCGCAGTAGTTAGTAGATGGACATTATCAGGGTTACTTAAGCGTCTCTCAAAAGTTGTCCATAAATTATAGTCTCGGCAAATTATAATATGCAAGAAGATGGAATTCTGGAATGACAGGCGAACAGATGTGATAAAAGTTGCTAGTTATGCGACAGTGAAAACCGTGGTTATTTATAGAACATGCGTTAGACAAATCTGGTCGAAGGAAATTTTTGTATTCTTGTATTTTTTGGTAATTTTTGGTGTTTGTATGAAATAACGCTTCCTTTGTACTTGTTGACTGCTTGGTTTTGAATTCTAAATATAACACATTTGTCCGTGCTCATCCAATACTTCTTAGTTACATTGCGTTATTTCTGAAATTCAAATACTCCTAATCGTCACATAATTGTTACTGAAATAAAAAATCCAGCTACCCTGGTATAAAATTATTGACCTAATCTGAGTTCGTGAATAACTGTATTAAGTAAACCAAATACGAGAATGGATTTTGAATACGTATATCTCATTTACCCAATGATTTGAGCAGGCAGTCAGAGAAACGAAGCAAAGAGTAAAGAGCGAACCGAAACGAGATGATGCGTAGTGGAGAAGGAGATCGAACCAACTCGACTTAAACGAGGGTGACCAGAAATAAGTTACTGGTAGGTAAATAATAAGATGAGCAATTAACATACGATAATATAAAAACCTGAAGAGTTAATAAGCGAATAATCAGAAAGGCCAAAATGTGGCTTGAGAAAAATGAATAAATTGGACTAGCCATAAGTCTAAATAAACCAAGGGGGCTTAACATAGTATCAACCACTGCAAAACCCCCTACAAAAATGCGACGAATAACGAAAATTAGAAACAAAATAAGTCAATGTTAACCGATCCGCAGATGGCAATCCATGGATGAATGTGTGTTTATGAAGTCTCCTCTCAAAGCTATCAACTGTTCAGGTAATTCGGCGTACTTAATATGTTGTATGCCATCACCAGATCACCTCTTGTTCCCATATAACTCAACGACAACAAATTCACGTGTTGTAATGTGTTCTCCTAGGATCCATGTTTTAGACTAATCAGCCACCTGGTACACATTTCTGTACCTGGTCCAGGAAACTTATATTTCTTTCAAAGAGAGGGGAGCAATAATATTGCGGATCTCGAGATGAGACCGTGTGTACGTTATAATCAGTGTCAAGAACAACTCTGGAGTGATTTCTTCAATTAGTCTACACATCTGGTTGAGAATTGCGTTTGTCGTGGCTGCATATCCTGTGTGGTTTCAGTTGTTTTCCAAGCTCTCCCTGGTTTGAAGCTCGTGATCACGCTCTGATGTGACAATCGGAAATGTATATTTGTGCAGGGATTAGTGGTGTGTGTCAAATGAGGCAGAATGTTTGTGACCGGACATTTCGACGGGTTAGGTTTTAACCCATTGCCAATTACTGACTGCTTTTTATGAGGCTTCAGATCCTTGTGTTGTCTGCATAGATCAGTGCCACTGCGCTAATTCTATAGGACAGGTCGTAGAAGTGGACTAGATGAGTATGAAACGAAGCATCTGGTGTGATAGTTGCGAAAGATGAAGGAATGAACTCATGTTCTTTCGCTATTAAACCGTGCTCTGTATCTTTAAATGGATATATCAAGAAGCGCATAGAATGATTTTTCTATACAGATAACTTGAGGAAAGTTTTATTGATAGTTACAAGTTCTACTGCATTGATTGTTTTGTCGCTGTAACAGCTAATTGCAACGGATTTAGTGTTTAATTTTAATTTCCCGCTTCATCCGATCTCAGCTCGTTGTTTTCGTCAATATGATGGGGCGGGGTGGTATTTTGATTTGGTTTTTAGTTCTAACCGTCGCTATTCTGATCGCATCTTATATAAAACCGTTTGACCACAGTAAGTAAATCGGTGTCATGATGCGAACAATTCTTCGAACGGTTTTCTTGCAAAGTTTTCTAACTGCAACTAGCCGTTCTCGTGTTGCAGCTTCTGGTTTATGTGTCAAAAATAGCAGCGTTGTCTGTAAACGCTGTACTAGTTATTAAATTTTGAAAATTTATTTTTTAGTTTCTAGATGGTTCACGTCGGAAAAATTGGTGAACATAGATGTGAAAAGGCTGAAGGAGATGATGAAATCAAACGACCTTAAATTGATAGATGTCCGAGAACCAGACGAGTTGGAGGAAGCCGGGAAGATCCCTTTTGCTGTTAATATTCCACGTAAGTGCAATAAGATCTTCATTTTGTAGTCGGTGAAGTCGAGGATGCCTTCAAACTGGACGAGAAAAGCTTCTTAGAGAAGTACAAGATCCACAAACCGAATGTGGCGGACAAAAATGTAGTTTTCAGTTGTAGGAGTGGTGTCAGAAGTATGCGCGCTCTCAAAATCGTTCAGGATTTGGGTTATGAGAAGTAAGCCCTGGGTGCAGATGTATATGTATGAATAATTTTTAGTCCTCTCAATCTTGTTGGCGGATACAATGCATGGTCCAAAGAAAATGCAGAATAGGATGTTATTTGCTACAGTACTTCTGTTTACCAAATACCAAATATGTAACAATGTACAACAATAAGATCGTAATGTATATTTATTTACAGTCAAAACAGCTTGGAGTATTTTCAGGACGCTTTTTAGTTTGCAACATACCATCCTATTGTTTTTGTGAATATTTTGTTTTTAGTTTCTCATAAAAGAATTGTTTTTTCTGTATAATTTTGTCTGTTGTTAAAAGTTGCTCTAAGGTAACAACATTTCACTTAGCTTTTGCACTGGGATGTGTCGTTATTTTTACAAAATTTCCTCAGAAACAATTGTAAATTTGGCATCCAAAGATTGGTTTTGTTTAATCTAATCTTTGAATAAATTTTAAAAAAGTTTTCAAGCTAACAGTCATATAATGATTCTGAATATGTTGGTTTTACGGACTTGGTCATTTACAATGGACGAATTTCAGTGTCGCGATTAAGTTATTCCGCTATATTCCGTTCTTACTTCTACGTATTCGTGTTCTTGGCTCTGATTAATGTTGTGTTCTATATACATAGGCAGAACTTTGTGATAAGATCATTAGTTAAACTGAGTACAAGCACAAAATTGACCCTGATTTTCATTCTATAAATCTTGTCTGTAGAATGTTTCAAAGTCATTCCGAATGGGCCTTGGAAATATGTTTGCACTTATCAAAAGATGCATTAAGAACTCAGGAATTCGTGTTTCCATTTATATATCCCTCAGATATGAAGGTTATTGATTCTGAAAACTCATTTTAAATAATTTATCTATTGCTTATTTAATTTTCTCTCGTATAAGTCTATATGCATAGGTTTTGTTTTTGTTCAGTTAAGCATTACTAGTTAGGATTATTTAGGAGCTCAAATCGACATAAATTCACCAGAAATCACCATTAAAGTGGTATCGACTATTTATCATTGCAGCTAACTAACAGTGGTCTTGATCCTCATGTAATTAAGACAAAAGATTGTCTAATTTAGTTATACAGTTTCTACCCACTTAAATAGAGTGAGCTCAGAAAGTGAGTGCAGAAGGATTAAAAACGTTTGAGGCTTGGTCGAGTGTAGATAACCTTGGTCATAATTATTTTTCAGGCCTATAAATAGAAATGTACTTGACAGTATTTCATTATCGCTATTTTATTTACTTGAAGTGGGCATACATATACTCCGGTTACGATATTGCTTAAAGTTTTTGAAGTTAAACGATGTTCCAAACTCGAAGCTCCTTATTTAAGTATGCTGATCACAGCTACTGCTTACGAACAAAAATTGCTTAGTTTTAATATAGGAATACTGGAAGTAAATGAATCTCACCTCCTACAACTTCATTCTGTCCAGACGCTTGCATTTCAACCTAAATGGTGCGTTTACGTGTTTTTTCAGGTGTACTGTGCTGTTTCAGAACGCGAGTATCCAGGTCAGTACTAGTGAATAAATAAGTTGAGTGTTTGAACTAAGTTATACAGTTAGCTAAACTGGAACTGGTAACCGGTGAAGTCTCGGTATGTGTAGTAGGCCCCCCGACCGGTGCTGCTACCATAACCTGCTGGTTGGGCCTGCCCGTTGTATTTAACCAATCAAACCATACTTGCTGTAACAGTCGTTCCTCAAGGTCCTACCATGCCAGACAGGTTGGTTGAAGAGCGGTAAGACTAAAAGCAGCAAACCGAATGTACGAGGTGAAGTCGTACTGCTGACTGTATAGAGGTGTGACGGCAGTAAGGTGTTTCCTTCAGAAAAGCGGCATAACAGCGATGCTGTCTTCCCACAAGGAAAGGTGGGGTTAGAAAAGGTCAACCCTAAAAATGAACACCTCGCCTTGTCCCACGGATTCCCGTCTCCGGCAGTAAGTCTCCGACGAGTACTGAGCTAAAACGGAAACTACTCACAAAAAGGTCATGTGTGATTGGCCTCAAGCAGTTGTGCCTTGGGAACTGCGATTACGTTTTCAGGTCGCTAAGGCCGCCCTTAAGCCAATTTCTTCCTCAGGTGCTTCTAGAGGAACCTTTCCACTGTGTGGGCAATCGGGAAGTGATTAATGCTTCCATACCTTTAACAGCACTCAAGATCACTTTATTCATAATTAATCCTCCTCTTCAATTGCTATTATTCCTCCTACCTCAATTTTCAACTCTAAAATTCCTCTTTTGACTTCCTTTTCAAGTGTCACCATGGCCAACGATTCGAGTGAGCGGAAAATTGTCTCAGATCTACTGGAACATCGCTCCAAACTGTGAATCGGAGCCTTCAACGTACGCACTATGTCAAATTGACCAGTAATCCTCCTTGACTAAGACCCTAGAATCTCGTACCGTTGATGCATGCTGTGTCTCCGAAACACACATACAGGATCCTAATTTAGTCATTCACTTGGCCTCATCTCACCAAATCTGTGGGCCGACGAGACACACCCTCCCTGTATCTGGCGACCCGATGGCTAGTTATCTTGGACTGGCAGGTGTAGGTATAGCAATAAGTACGAGGGCAGAACAAGCACTATTAGAATGAATCCCGGTTAACATTCGTCTATGTGCTGTTCGGCTAAACGGCTCAGTAAGAACCGGGAAGGATAGGGACACGTCATTGCCTTTTCGTCGTTTCTGCCTACGCTCCCACTGACTGCAGCCCGGATGAAGTGAAATATTTCTTCTACGGAAAGCTCTCTGAACGTCTTCAGAAAGCTAGCTGTTCAGACATAGTACTTTTAGCAGGTGACTTTAATGCGCAGATAGCTTCGACCAAACAGAAAAACATTTAGGTGGGCATTTTGGTTTTCTGGCTCAGCGAACAGATAATGGTGATTGTCTGCTGCAACTGTGTTCAGACAATCGTTTATTCTTAGCAAGCAACAATTTTAAGTGTAAGGAGAGACATCGTCTAACATGGTGACCCCCTGCACTAAACCAACGACGGACTCAAATAGACCATGTTGCCATCAGTCATCGTTGGAGAGGCTCGGTAGAAAACTGCTGCGTGTTTAAGAGTACATGTTTAGGTACTGATCATGCTTTAATACGAGCACGCATTCACTTGCGCCTCACTGGATGAGGAAAAACCACATTAAAAAGACCCATTAGTTTAACTCAGTGAAGAGAAAGCCAAAAGTATATTCCAGGAACAACTGAGGCTACACTTAGGCAGTTTTAAAAACGAGACTAACCTGGATGTTGCTTGGAATGATATATGAACAGCTGTGGAAACAGCGGTGACATCTATTAGTGATTCGAACCAAAAAGTCATGACAAACCAGTGGATTTATGTTAAGTCTATTGCACTGATATATTCTCATAAACATTCCATCAGGCTCTGAACACGATAAAGAGCGAAAACAAATCAGATCTAGGTTAACCAAAAGTCTAAGAAACGACTGTGAGCAGTGGTGGGCAACGAAAGCAAAAGAAATGGAAAAGACAGCTGCTGTAAGTAACACCAGACAGCTTTTCAGACTAATAAAAGAAATTGGAATTAAGAAGTCAAGTGTAAGTGAAACGATCTCGGAAAAAGACGACACTTATCTCAGCCCAAACGTTCAGTACGATTGGCGGAACACATTAAGGAGCAGTTCAGCTGGCCTTCAGATACTCTACAACTACCTACCATTACCAGACCGCTTGAATGGAACATTGAAATAGGTGCCCTGACTTTAGCTGAAGTTCAAAAAGCCATAGTTAACCTGAAACGAGGAACAGCAGCTGGTCCAGATGGATTGGGTACAGAGGTATTCAAGTATGATGGTTCAGTTTTAGCGATCAGGTTGACTAACATTTTAGCTGGACGTAATCCTATCTGACTGGTCGCAATCACTTATCGTCCCAATATATAAGAAAGGGTCAAAATCATCCTGTGACAACCACAGAGGGATTAGTTTAACAAACATAGTGTCTAAAATACTGGCCTCGATAATTATCAAACGCCTAACTAAGATTCGTGAACTACAAACTCGAGAGAACCAAGCTAGCTTTAGACCTGATCGTGGCTGCATCGACCACATATTCACCATTCGTCAGATTCTAGAACACAGGCATACCTATCGGCGTCCGACGATGGTGGTATTTCTTGACTTAAAAGCAGCATTCGACTCTGTGGCAGTGTCTGTCATTGAAAGGCGTACCCCAGAAGTACATAAACCTTGTAAAGGCTCTTTACTCGAACACTACTAGTCGAGTCAGAGCTTATGGCGAACTGTCATCTACTTTTGCAACCTCAAGTGGTGTCCGTCAAGGCTGTCCACTTTCCCCATTTTTGTTTAACTTCATCATAGATCTACTGATGGAAATAACACTCTCGTCGACTGAATTCTCGGGTATTGATCTCCTTCCAGGAGGTCCACTTATCGGCTTAGAATACGCAGATGACATAGTCTTGTTTGGTGAAGACGCTGACAAAATGCAGTCTTTTGGTAGTACTGAGCAACAATGCCAGGATGTTTGGGATGCGTTTCTTCTTATCTAAATGCCAATTGTTGCTTCAGCACTGGTCTGCTACAATACCTGGACTACTTTTCGCTTCAAAAGCCAATACTCTATTCTTTAAGCTAATCAGACTAGATATATGACAACCTGTTCAACTTGTATTATATTTATTACGCGTGAGGGTTTGGACTGTCCTGCGTCAACAACTGAACTAAGGACAGGGACTGAAGTGGCCGAACGCGTCGACAACGTCACTTGTCTTGGAAGTTTGATTAGTCCCAATGGGTTGGTGTCTGACGAAATCCCTACATGGATTCAACTAACTCGTCTGGCTTTTTCCAAATTACCTCACCTATGGAGAGTGTGAGATATCCGTCTATCAATCGAGGGACGAGCCTACTGCATAGCAGTTCATTCTGTTTTACTTTACGGCTGTGAAACGTGGCCGTTAAGAGTAGAGGATACACGTAGGTTACTAGTATCTTATCACAGATGTCTTAGAAATATTGTTCATATCTGCTGGGATCACCAGGTAAGTAATAGTGAGGTTAGACGCAGGGTATTAGGGAATGATGGTAAGTCAGTTGATAAGGTTGTGAATCTTCATCGACTGAGATGGTTGGGCCGCGTGTTGCCTATGCCTGAACATCGGTTTCCACGACTGGCAATGCTGAGTAGTGTTGGGGATGGTTGGGAGACATTTATATGAGCGGCCAAACCAAAACGTGGCATCAGTGCTTGAAGTCACTAACTTATGGTCTTAGCCATGTTGGTAGATGGAGACTATTTGGTTGGGGTCCGCGTGACTGTCGTGAGAATAAAATTGCTTTATACATTTCTTTCTACGAACTAATTCTCTCTCTCTGTACCATATCCTTATATACAATCTGTATTTGTATATATTACTAACGCTGAAGTAACTGCTTCTACGAATTTAGTGTTCATCTTGTTATGATGATGAGGTATGACAACTTGGACCGAT